CCCCCCCCCCCAAAGATCTGTACTCGAATTCACCATTAATCCATGGCCTTCCTGTTTCTTTTCCATGTCCAGAGTGTTTATATGACAGAATAGCACAAGAAACTGTGGACGAAACTGAAATTGCACAGAGACTCTCCAAAGTCAACAAGTACATCTGTGAAAAAATCATGGATATCAATAAATCCTGTAAAAATGAAGAACGAAGGGAAGCAAAATACAATTTGCAATAAACTTTGGATTTTTCATAAAGCCTTCGCGTTTTCCTTGAGCGGCGTGTGATTTGTGGGCGCCGGCGCCGGCCGGATCAGAGCCCTCGCGCGTGGTGTGTGGGGCAGGAGCCAGTGGGGGTTGGGGTCAGCGGCTTGTTCTGAACTTGGACTTCCCACTTCAAAGAAGGCAGATGGACGTGCTGAGACTCAGGCAGCAACCCAGCACCGGTGTAGTTCTGGGGACTGGGAACCGTCTTTTCAGCAGGGGATCGAGTGTCTCCACCTTGCCTGTCACTTGGCCCAGAATTGGAACTGATATTTTTACCATTCAAGGACTTTTATCTCTGTTTCTCTATTTTGTTCTATAATAAAGCTCATTAATTCTTTGATGTAGATAATGATTATCCTCATTTATTTAAGGATATTAAGTGTACAGTGGTGGCGACCAGTGTCCTTTGAGGGCGGAACATTCAGGCTGAGGAAGGAAAATTCATAGGGATGTGGTTGCTGACTACAGATCTGAGGGGCTATCTCGAAAGCAGATCACTTTCTCCTACTTCAAAGGACGATCTAGGACCTTTCTCACTCAAGGTGACCAGAGATTCAGCTTCCAGATAACTGGAGTCAATCTTTGTAAAAGTTATTGGGGGGGCTGTGATGATAGATGTGGTCCAGGGTCACCATCGGGAAGTCGGGGGCAGGGTACCTGCTATCAGTTTGTTTCTCTTATCTTGTAGTTCAAATGATCTTTCAAGTTACATAATTTTATCTCATTCAGTAACTAAGTCTCGAAGGCGCCTGGTGTGCAGCCTGGCAAACCACATATGCACCGTGCTTCCTGTCTGCAGTGCCTGTGAAGTCAGCTTGGTGCATTGGGAAGGCCGGGGTTTGGGCTGAGCACCTGGGTTCCAAGCCTCCCTCCCCTGCTGCCCCTCACCTCTTCTGTTCCGTAAGAAGGAGATAATATCTACCTTGCAGAGTTGCCATAAGGATTTTATACATATATATGGCTCAATAAATGTTGGCGATCATTATTTTATTCATTTCCGGTTATTGGCTTTAGCTATTGGTTGGAAAACTTTGGCCTTTTGTTTCTCTGATGGGTTATTCGTTAAACCATTAAACCATTGGTGGTTTGCAAGCAAAAGCTCAGGGTCACTGGGGTAAGAAGGGGAGGCGGCTTCCTCTGAGGAATTTTATTCTAGTAAATAAAATAATCCTTTATAATGTGAAATACTCTGCGCTGGCTAATAGGATCGTATGTGTGAATTTCCTTTCATGCTATTTTCCAGCTCTCCCCAAACCTGCAGCATGATCTTAGACCAGTCACTTTACTTCTCAGAGTCCTTATCAGTATAACAAGGGAAATAATGCCTATGGCACAGGCTCTTTGGATAATTAAGTAACAACAGTGGCAGCAACACCAGATACTTTTGTGCCAGGACTTTTCTGAGTGTTCATTTTATGAGGTCAGTAAGGTTAGTGACAGTAATGTTCAATAAATTCTTGTTATTGGATGTATTCATTTTAATGGCGTGGGACAGCTTGGGCATGTGTGGTATGGAATACATGAGAGACTGGAAAAAAGGGTGCATCGTACTGGAGCTCATCTCTCCTCCCTGAGCACAGAAAAGGGGGTTCTGTGCACTTCTCTGCAGAGACTGATGCACTATGATACCTGCTTCATAGGTGCTTCTAGATGAGTGCGGGAAATAGCATGAGAATCTGTGTTTAAAAACTGCTATGAAAGGTGAAAGTGCTTTGTGTAATGTACGGTGCATATATTAGAGGCAGAATGGAGTTGTGAAATATTGGGATCTGAGTTCAAATCCTGACTTTATCATCACTGGGAAGATTGCCTGACCTCTCTGGGGCTCATTTCTTCTGAAGTGGAAATAATGATTCATAACTCAGGGTTGTTTTGAGAGGAATCCAGGTGATACCTGGAGCAAGGGCTCTGTAAGTCTTGAAGAGACACACACGTTAGTGACCCTTGGCTCAGAAGACAGAATAAAATCAGAAGCGAGTGTGACAGGAAGGACCCAAGAGCCAATTCTGATGGAGAATGAGGGGACATTTCATACACTAGTTACTGACAGGCTTTTGAGCACCTGTTGTGTACCTGGCACCCTGTTACTGTTATATGAGGGCAAGGTCATTGTTCTTATACCTGCACCAATGAGGAATTGGGCTCTGAAAAGGTTAAATAACTTGGCCAAGGTCCCAGAGTTATTGGCCTTGGGTCAGAATCCAAGCCTGTGCAATAGGATTCCTCTCCAGACAACCCTGAGTTATGGATCCAAAGATGAGTGGAATACTATGGTCTGGGCTGAGAATCTAGCCATGCCATCTCAGGGTTGGCTAGGAGAGACCCAACCACAGTAATAAGTCAATGGAAACCATTCTCATTAATTGAAGCCATTTGGAGGGACTGGAAATAATAGCACTATTTAGGAGAATTCAGTTTTATTACATTCAAATACATTCACAAAACTCAAGTGCATTTTGTGTTAGAAGAGGGTTTCCTAAACTTGCCCAATCTTACGAATTTGCTGAGGTGCCTAAAGTACCGATTCCTGGACTTTGGTTTACAGACTTGAGTCAGTGGGTCTGAGACAGGGCCGGGAATGTGTATTTCAGCACAGTGCGGCTTGTGGGTAATACCAGCCTAGCATAAGTCCTGCTTTCACGAAGGAGCAAGAATGTTTCCGAAGTAAAAAGACAAGCTCCCTCTAAAGTGCCTGAGGATATTTGAAATTGAGGATACATTTCTCCTAAGGAGCTGAGGCTCTGCCCCGAAACCTTGTTGAGAGTCCCGCTTTCGTGCCCACCAAGTGCTATTTAGTTGGACATGATGCAGCAGGTGACCTTCAGTCTGGGCACCCATGATTCCCCCTCACTGTTACCCCTCGATTCTTCCTTTCAATTCTTTCTTTCAATGCCAGGGAGCGGTGGAGGACAGGATGGTCAATACTGAGCTGGCAGGGCCTGAACTCATGCGGTTGGTCAGGCACTGTCTTCAGAAACCCTGGCAACAAGTCCCCCGTACCAGGCAAAACAAAGATGTGGCTTGTTTTCATTTTCTGGCTGAGGAAAGTGTGTTAGTGACTGTTACGTGCCCAAGGGTTTCTTGGATGCATTTCTAGATTATGCTTTTTTTTTTGGTAATTATAAAGGAAAATCACTTTATAGAAGTTTTTGGAAAAATAGAGGAAACATTCCAGGTTGCACTGCTGCAAGCATCGTGACGCGTCTCTTCTAGTCGTCTTCTCAAGGGCGTAAACATGGGTTTTACATGCCTGTGATCATAGCATACGACAGGTTTCTATTCTTCCCTTTCCATTTAACACATTTTCCTGTTGCTCCATGAAATTTATAGCCAGCAGTTCCAGCACCCACCAAGTGGGCCGACATCAAACGACGATCCAGTAAACATGCAGGGCTGCCACTTCTCGAAAGGCCACGCTGCTCACTTTGGTCCACCACATGCAGTAGAGTGAGCTTGGGCTTAGGAGGTCGCTGCACTCGAGTCCATTTCCCCTCTAGCTCCTACTCCCTCACTTAGGGTGAGTTGCTTTATCTTTCTGAACACCAGCTTCTTTATCTGCAAAACAGAGAAAATAATAGCTAGATATGGAGGACTGAGAATGTAATTAAAGTGCCCCGGTGAGAGTGGATAAATGGCCGGCAATGTTAATGTTGGTTCCCCTCCCCTCCCCTTTCCCTGTGCCCATTCAGTCTCCACCTGAGTGAGCTCCTACCTTGTCTCTGACCTGCTCTGACCTTGGCTTTTGTTATCTGCCTTTGGACATCCAGACACCTTGTGCCCATCATGGGCCTTTCCCTGTGTACACCGACCTCAGCCCCTACCTCTGCCACCCAGCTGGCCCATTTGCCCTTCCTCAAGTTTTTAGGTTGCTGGTGAATATTTTTGTGTGCGATTTTCTTCTTTGTATTTTTTTTTTTTTTTTTAATCATTTTCTTAGGGTCATTTTACCTGGGTCAAAAGGAATGACATTTTTAACATTCTTGATGCACATAATGGGTGTGCATTATGCTTTAGATTATTTTGCCAACTTAGGTGAAAACCAGTACCTCATTGTATTTTCTTTGATTATTTCTGAGACTGTATCTCTCTCCAGAGTTTGGTTTCTTGGTAACAAAATAATAGCTTAACCTACAAGTATTTCTGGTAGAATCCATTTCATTTTCTGTGTTGTTTTGTCTGGACCAATGTCTTTACTTTGGGTTATAATTTTTACTTTTACATCTGCAAATAGACATGCCAGTGGATATTATTACCACTTCTTTTGAAGGGATAGGTCAGTTTCTGCCAAGCAACTTCTTAGGCTCATGGACGCTAAGGGTCAAAAGTGAACTTCCAGGTCCTCCTCCCAGATCCTCTCTCCACTGGGAGCAATGCCCTTCCAGACCATGCCTGACCACCTCCAGGGGTGGGCATTCATCCTACTATCCAAGAGTCCATGCAGTTACTGCCATCACTGAATTGTTCTTCTGTTGAGCTAAAAATTCACTCAGATTCTCTCCTATGAAGTCACGCAGGTGCTTCTACTCAGAGCTCTTTGCACAGCTGAAGGTGACAGTCATGTCTCTTCACCAACTCATAAGTAGCTCAAATTCTCTTCCACCATTTCTCACATGAGGGACACTGCCCAGGAAAAAGTGGAGACTCTGGATTTATTTTTTAATTTTTAATTTATTGATTTTAGAGAGAAACATGGATTTGTTGTTCCACTTATTTATGCATTCACTGGTAGATTCTTGTCTGTACCCGACTTGGGACTGGGGGTCGAACCGGCAACCTTGGCGTATGGGGATGATGCTCTAACCAACTGGGCTTCCTGGCCAGGGCTGGGGACTCTGGACTTAGACAGCTCTGTATTTAAATGCCGACTGCCACTTACTAATGTGTGACCTTGAACAAGTTCTTAACCTCTCAGCTTTATTTTTCTCATTTTAAAAGTGGGAATATGATACCTTTTCATATTGAATAGAACTAGAACTATATAGGTTGCAGTAAGAGCTACAGAAGAGAATGTGAGTAAAGCACTTGGGCATTCAGTGTTTCCATTCCCTAATCCCGAGAACTCGGACCATCCTGGTTGCTCTTTTAGAGATGTGTCCTCAAAAGGTGGGGTTCAGGACTGGACACTCCTCCAGGAAGGGCCTGATCAGCACTAACTAGAGCAGGTTGTTACCTCTTAATCCTAGACTATATCTCTCTACTAAGGTGGCCTTGCGTGAGTGTCTTTAGTGATAGAATTGTCTCATTTCGAGTTTATGGTCACTAAAGCCCCAAGGTCCTATCGAGCTTGTGGTCCCTGCTCCCTCTTCTTCGCTAACAATACTGGTCCCTTTAGTTCACTGTGTTT